GCAAGCTTCCACAGGGCTATCGCCACTCGCTTCTCAACTGTGAGGGCTGCTCTCATCTTGGTATTCTGGCGTTTCAGGGCAGGGGACAGCAAGTCACAAAGTTCCATGAAAGTGCCCTTACGCATGCGAAAGTTTCGCAGCCACTGGGAATCGTCCCATACCTGCAACACTATGTGGTCCCACCAGTCTGTGCTTGTTTCCCGGGCCCAGAATTGGCGTTCCACGGATAGAACCTGCCCCATTAACAACATGATCTCCAAAGCAACGGGGCCCGCGGTTTGGGAGAATTCTGTGTCCATGTCCATGTCCTCATCACGCTTGTCGCTGCACTGCCGTCGCCGTCGCTTCCTCGCCTCGTTTTTCTGGTCGTGGCTCAGCATAAACTGCACGAGAACGCGCGAGGTGTTTACAATGTTCATGACTGCTGTCTTGAGCTGAGCGGGCTCCATGCTTGCCATGGTATGGAGTCTGCAGTGTTCACCCAGGAAAAAAGGCGCGAAATGGTTGTCTGCCATGGCTTTCATGGAGGGAGGGGTGAGGCTGTACCCAGAACCACCTGTGACAATGTTTTTTGCCCCATCAGGCACTGGGATCTCAACCCAGAATTCCAATGGGCAGGGGATAGCTACCCACAGTGCAACGCTCCGGAAATCGACGCTAGCCCCGGTACATGGACGCACACCACCGAATTAATGTGCTTAGTGTGGCTGCATACATTCGACTTTATATAATCTGTTTCTAAAATTCGAATTATATAAATTCAGATTAATCCCGTAGTGTAGACATACCCATAGGGAACAACCAGAGTAGTGGGAGAGGCAGACGGGGTGGGAAGAAAGAAAAGTGGAACAACAGAGGAAGAGACGAGGGAAATAAAAAGAAAAACAAAATAGACAGTAAGGAAGGAAGATGCAGGGACGGAAGGAGAATACAAGAGAAAAGAATTAAGATTTTTAAAGCTGGAAAATGGGTTTTATTTCTCTTTGCCTGCCTGTGTTTTATGATACTTTCTGGCAGAAAGAGGGAAACTGAAGAATCTTAAATTGGGAGTGGGGATTAGATTGGTATCAACAAGAGGTTGTTTGTGGGGATCTTTGGGTTCATCAGGCTTCAAAGTTGAAAGGGTTATACCAGAGCTTTCCCCTCCTTAGTACATAGACTGAATGTACATTTCTATCCTCACTTTATCAGGCTTACCGTAGAAATGTATGTGGTAAATTACCAGATGGTGAAGGCAATCTAGGAGTCACTCTGCATTTGTTCACCTACCATAATTAGAACTCCTTGCTTTTAGCCCTATTGTTAGTTGTGAAATCCAAACACTCTACAGATAAAAGCAGAATCAGGCCCCTTCTTTCATAATTAGCTAGCATACAACCCAGCTAGAGGACTGAAGAGTTATTCTAAGATTGCAAATTTTACTGGCAATAGAATGGCAAGGCACAAGAATCTGCAGGAGATCTGGTATGAACTTCATTGTGCAAGCATGCTTAATGTCATTCTTTTTGACCATATCATATCATTTCTGATGCTTTGTATTCTTGCAGTTTAAAATTGCACTCCAATGTGTCTCAAATACATCAGACTTAATTATATAGCCCAATATTTTCAGTAATAGTCTAAAGTTAGGCTCCTAAGTCTATATTTGGACACCTAAATAATTGGCCTCATTTTCAAAAGTGTGGTGTGGCCAGACACTCCCACTGAGCTGAGTGGTTCTCTTTGGGATACGCTTCATACAAATATTAACATTCACGTTATAAAAAAATCAGGGTGTGTTGGTGGTGGTTTGATTTTAGTGTCCAAAGTTGTACTAGATGCTTCATAGAACAGTAAGGAAGATGTAGCTCATGCCCCGAAGGGCTTCTAGTCAATGCACCAGATTCTGCCATCCCTACTCACACTGAGCAATACCTTACTACACATGTAGTCCCAACAATTTCAATGGAATTACTCACATAGTAAAATACTACTCCGTGAGAGTAAGGGTGGAAGAATTTGGCCCTACATGTTTGACATCAGTCAGTGAGTGAGGAATTGAGCAAGGAAGGATTTGGATCACAGCAATGTGATTACATGGCTATTCACATTGGAAAGTACACATTGTGGTGTTCAGTTCAGAAGGTTTTCATTCTTTTTTCATATGTACAAAATCAAAGGAAGATGAAGATACAAGAGAGTGAATATATTTGATTTGCTTATTGTGGGTTTTGTGGAAGAGGTGATTTTTTTCAGGCTTTGAAAGTAATAATTCAATAAAGAATAATATAGATGCCTTTGTTTGTGCCATATTGTAACATCTATTGTCTATAGAATAAACAAGGCAATAGTGCTGGCTATCTTCATAACTACAAGGATAGGAAATTATATGTATAGAGGAGCTTAAATTCTGCAAAATACAGGAAAATCTGCAAAACTCCCTAAATCCACAGATTTTCTATGTCTGTAGACTCCTGTTGTCCCTGATTAGACAGATTATATCACTGTTATTGAAATGATATTGCAATCGTGAACTCTGGTTCCAATTGGCTACATTTCCCAGCTTTTTCACATTTGGTATTACAGTTCTTCTGGACCTATGTGAAATGTTTTCCGTTGTCTTAGCTCATTCCATAATAAACGCATCACAACTCCACCACACATAATCAGTCACAACTGGCATTTTTCTCAGCTCCAATAAGTTCAGAACTGCATGAAGTCTAAATTACTTCTGTCCCAGGAGACTGATTCTTTGAGGTCAGGTCAAGCTCATTAAGGAGAAGAGAGTGCAGAGAAGTTTGTGTTGCAGCCTCTTGAACTGCACCTATCATGCATAAATAGATTTTGCTTCCATCATAACCAGAACTGTAAGGGCACTTAACTATTGTATTGCCAGTGCTTCCCCCATGCTGGCAGTAGAATGAATGTTATGGGAGAACCTACTTATGGGAGGCAGATGGCCAAGAGGCTAGGACACCAGACTGGGAGTTAGAAGACCTGTTCCTGCTCTTGCCATGTGACCTTGGGTGATTCACATCAGCATTTGGTGCTTTTGTTCCCCTCTGTTTAGATGGAAGCATGTCAGGGCAGGGACTGTTTCTTATGTTTATTTAACAAAAAGGGTGCCTACTGTCTATTGGGCCTCTGGGCACTACTATAATATTAAGCCTAATGGCAGGCTGAGAGTTAAACTTTCGCAGACATAACTGTTCATATTTTTAATTAAATGAAAAGATCTAACAACTTCATTTACTCCAAAATAATCAATAGGTTAGTACCTTCTGCAGTTTTTCCTAGTGACTCAAAGGACAAAAAGTACAGTGAAAAATAAACATCTATTCATTCTTTTAATCTCCTTCTTGAGTCAGCATCAGGATCATTTGTCTTAATCAAAAGATGGAAATATTTATGCCTGGAGGACTCCAATTTTTTTAAACTAGGGAGTTGTGATAGAAACAAACTGCCTCTTCTCTTTTCCATTCAAGATTTACATATAAAAGTATCCACTTTGCTTCTAGTTCCTGTCATTTCTCAGAATGTGTTAGAATGTCTGCATAGCATTTACAGTAAAGAGCAATGAAGCAAGTAATTGCTAAAAATAAATAAATAGGATTTTAAAAATGCATTTGTGATATGTTATAACAGATAGAAAAAAAATTCAGGGAGGAAAACTGTTAAGTACATGGTAAACCGGCCTTACATGAACATCTGGTGAAAGAATAAATTTTCTCTGCATCAGTAGATTCTGCATTAGCTCAGTGGATCTGATGCCTACATGGGCAGCTTGTCAGGCTTTCCGGGACAGCTGGTCACCCTCTCTTTGGACATTAGATTTCAGTGAGGAGAATGCCTATCTGCATTAGTCTTCTCTTATTGCTCTACCTTTCTTCTATGACGTGGTCACCATCCCAATCCTCCCTGTTACTCAGGCCTGTAATCTGATTATCATCTTTGAGTCACCCCTCTCTTTAGCTCTGCCCATCAAGGCTATACCCAAATCTTGTCACTTTTTCTACCTATCATCTTTAACATCCAGACTTTTCTTTCTCACCACACAACAAGAACTCCCTCCCAGGCCTTCACCATCTTCCACCTCCTCTATGGAAGCCTCCTTCCCTCAGTCTTGCTTCCCAGCTACCCAACTGATCCCATTCAAGTCCTTTCAAAAGGCTGCTGCTAAGACCATCTTCCTGGTCTGTTATTTTGGCCATATCTATTGTAATGCAAATAAAAATAATAGTGGCAGCTTGCATCACAATGTTATAGATACCTATGTGTGGAACAGGAGAGGTTGTTGAGAAAGAAGTGTTTGAAGCAAAAAGCAACTAAAGACCAGTGGTATATCTTAGTTTCTGTGAAGGGTGAGATTCTGTGCTGAGCCTCTCAGAGCCGCAGCACAAAACTCACAGCCCAAGGGAAGAGGGGACTAAGGCAGATTTAAGCCATGTTGCGCCTTCCACCACACTGAGCTAGTCCATGGGCTGGAGAGGCCCTTGGCATAACTATGCCCCGGAGGCCTGTTTAAGTTATATTAGCCTCCCCAAGAATGTCTATGGGCTGCATACTGCCTGGAATATCTAGAGCACTGTGTACTGCAGCCTCATCCTCAACACAATTCTCCTGCCCCCAGCATGCCACCGATGCAACAGCGGTCCTCAGAGGGCAGCCATACAGCTGTTTTCCGCAATGCCTGCACCAGGGGAATCCTCCTTGCCTAGATGTGTGTTGCTGTTTTTAGGGCTCCTTTCTGACACTCTGACCCTTTTAGCTGGCATACAAAGGTTGGAGTGAGGGTGAGGATCTCAGCCCAGGTATGAACACCAGATATAAAGTATTTCATATTTCCTGCAAACTTATTGTGGACTCCTTTGATTTGGGAAGAGATCTTATAATGTTCTGCCACTTCTGCACATTTCTTATCTACTTGGGATTGAGTGATGTGGTACAAAGAAACCGTTCTACACATGTGACCATCTAATCTGCATTGAGTCATTCACCATGTGTCTTGTTTTCTTTAATAGAGTTGGCATAGATCCAGATGAAGATCTGAAAGCAGAAACTGCAAGCCAGGCAAGTTACAGCTATTGATATATCTATATTGACTAACATAATGTTCAGTCATGTTTAGTTCGTGTTTCTCAGTGTAGTAACTGAAAATCTTTAGAGCAGGGTTATCTCTGCTATAAATGCAGAATATGCAAGTACAAAATAGTAGGAGCTTCACATATTTTGTAACTGTTTATTGAGAGGACAGGTACGTACTGTACATTTTTCAGTTTCACCGGGGCACCAGAATAACTTTATCTGATACTGGGTTTTGAGGAATGCATTACAAATAAATATTGACATGATGAAATATTAGTAAAACAGTAGGTGGAATTGCTGCTATGGTAAATTCAAAACTTGAATTAGCTATCAACTGCATTTATGAAAACAAAAGATTTCAGAACAATGCTTGATTCCCTGGATTAAACAAAGGAACTATGCATGATTGAAATTCTTGACTCTGGGCATCAGGGTAGGTCAGGTTGCTGACAATGTTCATTAGTCCACCTGAACATACATTCGGGTTAAAAAACTATAGGCCACTAGGGACCAAGGAGGCTATTTGAGAAACTGCATGTGCTTATCTGTCACCCCATTGTCCCTGCCTTTTTCGTGTTTATGTCTGAAAATGTTTAAAATACAGCATTATGTGCTGTCCCAAGCCTAGTCAAGTTCCCCTGCTGGACATTCACTGGGGTGCCAGGTTTGGACCCATACACTGGAGTTGTGTGCTTCTGAGCTCCCCAGGAACTGAGCGGCTCCAGGCACACTCTCTTACTTTGGCTGCTCAGCTCACTCCGTGCGCAGAGACCCTCCTTGGAAGTGGGACCTCCTGGTCCCTAAGCCCCAAGACCAGTGCTAAACCTCCAAGACTCCCCAGTAAACACATCGTTCCCTGGATGTCACCCTTGTGGGCACTCTGGTTTATAGTCTACCCCTTCAGAGATACAAGATAGTAGAAGCAAATAGACCAATTTTTTTCCAGAGGAATTTCTAAAACAAAACATGCTTTCCTCATAGACAGCACATGACACAGGTCTAGACAATCCAATAAAATACCTGTGTATCATTCCCTGCCTCAGTTTCCTCACCACTCCTGAACAGTCTTTGGGATTTGGTCAGTGTCCTTTCAGAGTTCCAGGTCCTCACTCCTCCAGCTCATGACTTCTCCGCCAGATTGTGGAGCCTCCTCTCTAACCCTGACAGCCAGCTTCCTTCAGTTTTGACTGGTCCAGCACTCAAAAGATTCCCTCTCACTGAGGAAGCATTCCCTCTTTTTCCTTTCCTTGAACGTCTCTGCTTCTGTGTTTTTAAAGGCCTGCACTAACACCTCTGTTGCTTTGCTCCCCTTCTGGAGATTTTCCACTCGCCTCTCCTCTAGAAATCTGGTTTTATCTACATTGCAGCTACACTAACAATATAGATAGCAGTATCTTTTCCAGTTTACAGCACTCTAGGACATACTGATCAACATCAGAGATTTATATTGCATTGTACAATATAAACATTATTTCACCTTAAATGGGGTTTTTTTCATGGGGTTGGAGATTGTGAAAATGTGCTTGCACTGGACATCAGTAGATAGGACTTCTAATTTTCTTCCTTTTTCTATTAAAAATGAGAAATACATATTTGTGAATAACAATAAGGCACCTACTGACCCAAACTGTGTTCTGTTAATTAACACCTAGTTCTATTGGCAAAACTCAGCAGCACAATAGAGTAGGTGTGAATAAATATCACCCATTCCACCTCCAATCAGGTCTAAATCAGCATACTTTACTGTAAAATATTTTTACTAGCAAGGTAGTCTTGTTGCTCTGATTTCCTTTTTAAATGTTTACTATTTTCATTTCTCTAAGAGCTACAGTTAAATGTGTTATATTAATTTTTATTAATACAGTTCTCTATTTCATTGTGCATTTCTTCTCTTTTTAATTTAGTACTACGGCCTGTTCTTCACTTTTTCTTTCAGATTGTTTCTTTAAAGTTTTCTCTTTTCCTTCATTGATATCTCTTCTTTTCCTCTATTGTTTTAGATAATTCATTTTCTTTCTCTTTATTTTTCTCTCGCACAACTTCAGATATGAGTTTTATTTTTCTTCCATATTAACTTCCAGTTTTCTTCATATATGTGCTATGCTCTTTCATACTACAGGATTTTTTTTTGGGGGGGGGGGGTATATCTTATACTTAAATAACTACTCTCACATGAAAGAACCTTAAAGCACTATTCAGTTGTATAGGACATGTCGCAGCATGAAGCTCAGGAATGGGAAGTGGCACTCATGCACACACAATTTTTGGCTAAGGAGATTGGCACAAACAAACCTCGTACTACAGTGAAAAGTGTTTTGTGATCCTTAATGTGCAAGAAGGGCAGCTAAGACCTTGATTTTTTTTTAAGTGTTCAGCTGAATATGACACAGAGTTCATTGGATAGAATCTATTTTATGAAATTCAAAAGGATGAAAGGCTGGCAAAGTAACCACTGTTGAGATTTAGACCTTTGACTTAGGTTTTCCAAACCAGAGGGGATTTCATACCTGCTTTAGAGAGGGACACATGTTTCATTTACTGCTTTAGAGAGGGAGACATGATGGAATAGTTCAAGAAGCACAGTCACAATAAGGGCCAAGTTATGACTAGAACCTTCCCATTTGTGTCCTTCTCAGCTGTAGTCCCTGTTCTCATTTGAGAAGCAATGGACTGCTCTGTCTCTACTAGGAGGATCTAGTTACTCCAACAGGGCTGGGGGAAGACCAGGGGCATGTCCCCATCCCCGCTCTCCATCAAACACCTGAGATAACAGACTAATGGCACAGACAATGTTAGAGAAGGTGTTTGGATAACAGTATCTTGTGTCATCAGCCTGTTATCTAACACATTTTATTGTCAATCTCAGGTGTTATCAAACTGTTTTGAGCTTTGCCTGCCTGGTTCTTGTAGCTATCACACAAGATGAGGTGCAGAGAAACCTCTGATTGCACGAGGGAGGAGAGAGAGAAGCTATCTTGACTTTTGACTAGACGAGTTACTTTTTTCTTTTTCGGCTTTCACTGTGTTGTTGTATTGTTTGTTTTTCTACAAATATAATCCTTACAAATACCACCCCCTACACACATTCACACAGTCTGTTGTATATGCCAGTTTCTCAGTTGGTGTAAATCAGGGTAATTGCATTACCTCCAATAGAGTTACACCAGTTGTGGATCTGGCCCCTTCTATGCTGTTGAGTTTGGTATGGCTGCAGATGTGGACTGGGCTGTGGAAGGATCAAAGCCAATGGGTGCATGATTACACAGACCCAGGGGTCATTCACCCTTCTTTGCACAATGAGATGCAAGTGCTGATGGTGCTATTGCAGTTCTTGGGCTTCAGTAGGTGAGCAGCTCTGCAGCCTGGAGGAAATAATTCCATCCCTTCTTCCCCACACAGGATCCCCTATACAAAGCCCATCTATCTATTCAGCCATGGTACAGAGGATGAGGGTTTGGCCAACTGTGGGTTAAACTAAAGTTCTAAGGCAATATAAAGAGTAAATATAATCAACATTGCTCTACTTTAGCGTTCCTATTGTGACAGACCCAGACCAGTGGGGTACAGGAGTCTGGTAGAGGGCAAATATACTGGTCACTGGATGAGTAGTTTTCTGTTTCCTGAGTGACCAGAGCAGGGGCTGCACTAGAGTAATCAGGAACCTGCTAGAACCAGTTAAGGTAGGCAGGCTAATTAGGACACCTGGAGCCAATTAAGAAGAAGCTTCTAGAATCAATTAAGGCAGGCTAATCAGGGCACCTGGGTTTTAAAAAGGAGCTCACTTCAGTTTGTGGTGGGAGTGTGAGGAGCTGGGAGCAAGAGGTGCAAGGAGATGAGAGTGAGAGGGTGTGCTGCTGGAGGACTGAGGAGCACAAGCGTTATCAGACACCAGGAGGAAGGTCCTGTGGTGAGAATAAGGAAGGTGTTTGGAGGAGGCCATGGGGAAATAGCCCAGGGAGTTGTAGCTGTCATGCAGCTGTTACAGGAGGCACTATAGACAGCTGCAGTCCACAGGGCCCTGGGCTGGAACCCGGAGTAGAGGGCGGGCCCGGGTTCCCCACAAACCTCCCAATTGACCTGGACTGTGGGTTCTCCCAGAGGGGAAGGTCTCTGGGCTGTTCCCCAACCCACACGGTGAATCTCTGAGGCAAGGAAATCTGCCAATAAGCGCAGGACCCACCAAGATAGAGGAGAAACTTTGTCACACTATGTACTACCCACCCTAAATAACAATATGTCTGCAACCTTAACTTCCCCTCCAATTATTTTATTTGTGGTTACTTTCTGGAGCACTATGCTCCTCCAAGTTCAGAAACCATGCTGCTAATGATAAGCCTGTCCTGACTCTGGAGAAACATTTTACTATAGTCCTACTTTTAATACAAGCCCATCTTGTTGTATCTTCCAGTAGATGGAAGGCATGTTGTATCTTGCACTTGGTAGTGGGAAGAGTAATTATTTGCTGAGGATATTAGTGTAGTTATTGGGAAAGGAAGACATCAGTATTGAACCCAGGACAGTAAGACACACAAATTAGATTCAAGACCACCAGAAACATGGGCTGAGTAGTCTTACTGCATTACTGTTGCATGCTGGAGCCACACTAATTAAATATTGCCAGTAGATCACTAGCCTTTCTTAACAGTGATGCATATTTCCCTCCGGGGCAAGAAGAGTGACCCAATTTCTGAAGCTTAAGAAAATCTCATTGTCCATGAGGAGAAAAATAATCCCAAGTCCATCCTGGTCAGATACTCCTTTTGTGGCTTATCACTTTCACTGTCAGGAGGAGATACAGGAAGCTGTGCTTCAAAATAGCAGCTCTTGGCAGATTGTGTCCATAATCACCACCTGGACTTCGCAGAGCCCTGATCTGTACACTATCCAGATTAGCCCCCCCCCCCACCTTGGTTTTTTTTTACTTTCCTAGTTCTATCTTTTCTCAGGTGCATTTATCATCAAACTCTCTTGCATAAACAGAATGTACGATAGGTTAGCTCATTTATTTCCACTCATTTATTGATGGGTTTTCATAACTCAGTTCTGAAAGGCCATCAATAATGTGTAGAAATAAATGAATGCAGTCAGTCCACTGCATATCCTACACAATTAGAATATAAACACACAAAGCTAATTCTGATGACCGGGCATACAGGATAAATAGTCATTAAGCTGAGTTGCAACGCCAGTCTACTCCAAAAAAGACAAAGCTTTTTCTTGCTGTTTTTTTTTAACAAGGATCTAATTAATTTCCTCACAAAACAAAGATGGTTGATAAAAGCTTTTATTCCGCTGATTTATGTCTCTCAGCTATCCCGTTAGGTGCATCTCCACAGAGACTATGTGAAAGAATGTATTTTCTGGAAATATTTTGGAAGAATGCTGTAGGCGTGTTATAGGTCTCGGGGAAGCCCAAGCAGCTTACTGTACAGCTATGAATAGCTCACATGCTAAACTAAAGCTCAGAAAAAAGAGATGTGTTTAACTGTCTATTTCTTTAGCTCCTGGGAAGAAAAGTTTCCCTACACTGTCATTCTCCCTATTAGCCTCTCCTGCAGGCCTGCTGGGGAACTGCAAGTGAGTTTTTGAAAAAAAACATGGGTTATTTCTGTGTAGGGGTTGGAACCACTGCCAGTTTCAGTTCACAGAGATCCTCTTATTTTTCCATCAGACTGCTGGCATAGTGTGGCCCCCCACTGCCACTAGCCGGCCCTGCAGGAAAAGCTGTAGGTTCAGACTTTATACCTGCAGATCCCTGAGGAGCTGCCAGAGATCAGGAGCATCCACAGCCCCTGCTGCCTCTGCACCATCCCTTGATGGTATCGTTCCTGCAGGATTTGGACTACCGTGAATTCCCCAGGCCACCATCATTCCCCATGAGACCTCCCTGCAGCAAAAGGATTTTATGGCATGAGCGGAAGCCACACAAGTTAAAACTGAATCCTTCCACTCAACAAAATGGGAGCTGAATCAGCTCCCAGGAATAAATTTTGGCCCATGTGCTACAGGTGTAAGTTTATCGTGCTCAATCCTGCAATTCTAGTGTTGATGAAACTGGCACTGACCTCATTGGGAGTTTTGCTGATATGAAGCCTCAGGAGTCAAGTCCAAGCTTCCACCCAAGCTGGAACGGCCACACTGCTATTTTTAGTGTATTAACTCAAGCCCTGCTAGTGCAAGTCTGTCTACCTGCGTTGAGAGACCGGCTCCCAGCTGCAGAGTAGCCATACCCTATAGGGGATTATCCAAAGCCCAATTAAATCAATGTAAAGATTCCTATGGACTTCTGTGGGGTTTGGATCAGGCCTTAGCAGTGGGTAGCCCTATTATTATGAACCTTACACGCATCATGATGTGTGTAAGGGATGAGAATGTTTGTATTATTAGCTTAAAACCGAGAAATAATGAGACAAATAGAACTGAAAAATGCAGAAAGTAAAATGTTCCCATTAAGCATTCCATGGAGAATGAAGTTTAAAAAAAAATACATACCTCAAACTTAAAGCCAAAGAGGAATAAAACTGTAATGGAGTGTGCTATTTGGAATGCCCATTCCCATTTCTATTCCCAACCTGTTATTAATTCTTATGCTATTTTTCACATAACACCCAGAGCGTAACTAATTACCCATCTAGTATATGAGGAGGTTGTAAAGCTATAATTCCAGACTGTGGTCATGATCCTGCAAGCTGTTCTGTAGGAGGCAGATCCCTGTGACCATGCAGAGCCCGGCTGAAGTCAGCTTGCAGAATGGGGACCAATGTTAGTTTTCAGTATTTTCCTGCACTGATTCCAATCTGTAGTCCCCAGTGGTGGTACAGTTTTTGTGTGCATTTTTGTTTTCTTATCAAGCAAAGAGGAAAAATAGAAAGGAAACTAGTGTCATAATTATTGGAATATTATGCTCCCTTTGGAATGACCTTTTTGTAAGCCATAAACAAATACCATCTGAGCTTGACAGAAGTAAACTGAAGTAATCCCACTACAGCAATTTAACAGAAATATCATTTTTATTGATCTCAGAATATAGTGCTTCTCAGCTGCTTAATAAAATTGGAATCATTAATAAAAGTAAATGCTGAATTATTCCACTCAAGCACCAGCACAGCAAAGAGAAATGTGCTGATGATCTAATTTGCCCATGAACAGATTCACATACTGAGATGAAATCTGAGCCAAAGAGGTTTTTTTTAATAAAAAAAATGCAGGTAAATGTAATTTGGTTTGACAAGTATTTTTAATATCAAAACTTTGTTTTATTTATGTTTTCAAAAACTCTTTTGATTTTATATATGTATTTATTTTGCAGAAAGCAACTACTGCGGATAAGAACACAACCAAGGCTGAGAGTGCGTGGCTGTTCAGAATATGGTATGGGTTTGATCATAAGTATCCTTTTATTCTTATAAACCATGGACATTAGCTTTGTTAAGCATTTCCAATGTGCTCCGCATAAGAGTCCAAATGAGGTGATAGGGAGGGATAGTGAATCAGGCTGGGAACACCTGCCCAGAACAAAGTTTCATCAATATATTAAAATAAATTAATCTTGTCTAATTCCAGGATATAAAACATGTGCAGCAACGAGCCAGCTACAATGTTGTTCCAATTTGGGAGTGAATTCATTGCTCGGGAAAGTGAGACATTTAAGATCATATAAAGCCGGATTGTGGATGGCCCATATGCAAGTGAGCAAGGGCCCTTGAGTCCCCCTGTACAGGGTCCAGTCCCAATCACCATCCCTATACTCCCCTGGGCACAGAGCCTACTGTCTGCTTGTACATCTTGGTTCAGTAGCCATGCCAGAGAAGGTGCAGAAGGGGTGACGCATTGGCCCTGGTCACACCTCCCCAACAGGCATCCAGAGGTGCATATTCCACACCCCCTTGTTGGGGGAGGGGTAGCAGTGGGCACATTCTCTGGATACTGGGGGGCTCCCAGAAGCACTGAGCCTTCCGGAGAAATAATGGCTTCTGGTGCTCCTGCTGGGGCAGAGCAGGGGCACCTTGCCTCCACACAGGCTGCTTCTAAAAGCCACACTAGAGCCCACAGAGCCAAATTCTCCATGGCCATGCACCTTGTATCCTCACCAACACCTGTGTAAAGTGGCTGTAACAGGGATCATGCTGGTTTGGTATTGGTTTTACATGCACTTTGCATAGGTCTCAGTGATACTCATGATGCAAGACAGTGGGGAATCAATGTTATAGAACAGGTACTAATGCAGTGAAGATCACAGGAATCATTCTGTTGACTTCCATGGATACAGGATCAGGCACTAATTTGGTAACACCACTAATGTACCTCAGTGCTGCCTAGCCAAACTCCTGCTGTTCCATCCTGTTGCACCATACTGGAGCACAGAGCAACACTCATGCCATACATTTCTTGTATGTTTTTCTGATGTGAGCACAAACAAACTTGGATGAGAACATATCACAACTGATAAAATGTTACTCCATAGCAATGCAGCTTCTTATTAGAACGCTAGTGAAATTATCCCTCAAAAGTCTTCCAATCGGCAAGACTATTTGGTAAGAAATATAAATATACAGCCCCTAGTTTTATCTATCCAGGCAGTTCTAAGGACCAAGAAGTTAGAATTAAAATGTGTCACTAGAACAGGCTTAAGTTCACAGTTTTATACTTTCCAGGCACCGTGGAAAATAGCGTGTGCAATGCACTACAAAGGGGAAGAATGTGTTTAAAAAATAATACTAAATGCCATCATTGCTTGCTTTAGATACACACTGATCCCACTCGTTCCGAAAGAAGAGCCTGTATATCAGTAGGAAGGGGAGAACTGGGCAGAAAAGAAGATGGTTAAGAAAAAGGGAGAGAGAATGGGAAAAGACAGGAAAGTGAAGAGGGATGAGTGAAAGAGAGAAGGAAAAGAAAATAAAGAGGGAGCTAGGAAGACCAAATAAAGGGGAAATAGGGTAGGGATAGAAAGGGAAGAAAGCAAGAACCAATGTAAAAAGAGCAGAAGACAGACCAAAGGGAAGGAAAGGGCTAGGGGAAAAGTAGACTTTAGGAGAAACCAGGACAAGGTCAGTGAAAAAAGGAAGGGAATAGTGGAGAGAAACAGAAGGAAAAAATGGTGGGAGAGGAGAGAGGTTAATTGAATCTATGATCCAAGTTGCTGTGAAGTGGCAGAGCAAGCCCCACCACCATTATCTTTTTGGAGATACCCTGCATAATACAGAAATCCCAAAGGAGAAGCCTTGAAGATCTCCAATTCAGGACAATAGCCCTTTCTAAACTTTCTTCAATTTAGAAAGTTTGACTTCCAAGGTGTTTGCATTTCAAGAAAACATTACTTTTCTAAGTGATTTTTTTGAAGAGATTCTGAAAACGAAAGCAAATTTACATCTTAAGTAGCGATCTGTCTTCTAGTCTGGTAATAATCTTGCTCCAGTGTTCTCATTTTCAAAGACTGCAGCCCTGCCATTATCCTACAGGTATATTTTCATTTTAAAAAATATGACTTTTATGTTTTATTTATGCTGAAGACTTGTATTCAAATCCCTGTGGAGAAGGATGGTTCAACCCACTAATACTTGGAATGATAGTTCTGAGCTTTTCTGCAGTGTGAGTCACTATTCTGCTTCTGAAATATGTTCCTATTCCTTAGAGAGAGACAAATTATCTAACCAAACTTTTCTTCAATATCTGTGTCCTTCTCTTAGCAATGTTATGAAGTTGAGCTGCTGAATTTAAAAGAAGAAATTAATACAATTGTCATGTAGTGCAGTATTTATGCCTAGTACAGGATTGCATAATAGATTATGATAAAGCGTTCAAAGACAAGGTGCTGAAAAGTAATCATCTGTCTGGTTACACACTTAGGAAGAGTCCATGCCTGTGACATTTCTGTGGCCTGACATTTGCTCTAAGGTACCAACACTCACTCTTCTGGTAATAACATCCCTAATGTCTGTTTATTTCATGCAATGAGGCACAATTGCAGCAGTCAAAGGTTGCCTTATTTCTTGATGTCATTCTGAAAGATTTCCTACATTGACTTGGAGAATGTTTTAGGGACAACATTGTAAATTCAGCCACTGGGGGCCTGGTCCAAAGCCAGTTTGAATCCATACGGGTCTTTTCATTTGCTCTAATTGGCGTTGGATCTAGTCCTAGATACTTAAGAAAAATACATCTCTCTCTATCACTAAGACAAAGGAACATTAACATCAGAACAGTGAAAATTAAGAAGAAATAATTTGAGTATCTGGATACTCCCACTGAGTCTTTCATTTCAACATTGCGGTAAGTACAGAACAAGATAAAACATTTGGTATCTTAATGTGGCTAAATGTCTGAGAGTCTGTCTCTGTGTTCATGGTTTTATAGCTTGGAGTCTATCACCATTTTGAGCTGTAATATAATAGTAAAAGCTGATGGGAAAGAAAAGTGTGGGGGGGAAAATACTAACTATTTCAAGAATATTTATTGAGGTAATAGAATTAATGTCCCAGCACTGTCATGTACATGATGTATTATGGTTGTTTCAGTTTCCTTCAAGGGCAGCCAGTGTATTTGTATTGAAAATAGCAAGATTTAACTAAAAAATAAAAGTGCAAGTGGAGTTTTTGATTCTTTCCATTTTGGGTCATTAGCACACGAGGACTCAGTCCACAGAAAGGTTGGAGTGAAGGTGTTCACTCCAGGACCATACCAGGAAAGGAACTGTGACTCAAGGAACCATCCTGGTCTGTTCTTGCTCCAGGGTGGCAGTAATCTGCTGCTAACTGGTACCCACGTCAGCTCCCCCCACTACCACGGCTCCACCCATTCCCCACCCCTCCTCAATCACTTGCTTCAGAAAGGTAGCATGCAAGTCTTCTGCATCCACTTACTTCGGGTCTGGGAAGCCTGTGTAGCGGTCAAAGGGGGTTCTTTCCCCACTATAGAGGTATACAGTGCAAGTCACAATCTAGCCCAAAGAATTATAACATTTTAGAGTAGTGACTTGCAAAGAACATTTCCCTGTTTTTCAATTACACCTCTACCACGATATAATGTGACCTAATATAACACGAATTCGGATATGACGCGGTAAAGCAGTGCTCCAGGGGGGCAGGGCTGCACACTCTGGCGGATCAAAGCATGTTCGATATAACGCGGTAAGATTTTTTTTTTTTTTACTCCCGAGGACAGCATTATATCTGGGTAGAGGTGTACCACTGGGGATACATACAACTTAACAAACCAGTTTGGGTTAAATAGTCTTGTAGCAGATTCTTTGTCCACTAAAATTTCCTTCTCTTTTCTTATGTTCGGGTAACTGCTATTTTCCCCGGCTTAGATCATTTTGCCCTCTCTGTGCCCACAATGGTCCTCACTACCCATTCTGTGACCTCACTCTAGAAGAAGACTACAGGCTTATCAGTCTCTGTAACCCACTACATAGAGAGTAGGACATAGTGATGGTGAAGATGAAGGAATGGTTGAGGGGAAGAATGGAGTGTTTTAAAGGGGAAGAAAAGAGAGAACATAATACATGTTAATATATTAATACAATGCAGACTTTGTACTTCTAATGGATGAGCTCTCTCGTCAACATAACACATTAAAAGTTAGATTGAGGAACAACAGATACTGCAAGACAGAGGAATAGATGCCCTGAGACTCCATAGAAGGAATGGAGTGAAGCCAATAAGAAGGGAACGAGGAGGAAGACCAAAGGCAAGGGATACATAGTAAGTTTGTTTTTATTGCTTAATAAATACTGTGTGTAATGGACCTGGTCTCAGGCTCAGCCTACAACCAGGACTGATTTTTTTTTTATTGACAAAGGTGTACGGATGTGGCTCAGCCTGATTCCCACATTGGACAATAGAGAGCAGAGCATCCGCTATTCCTGCCTCTAATGTCATGGAGGAGAAGCGACAAGTGAGCATTTGCAACAGGGAGATAATTACAAAATATATGCAAAAGCCTGAGATGTGTGTTGGTAGAGTAGGGAATGCTGGGATTGTGGTGATACAATGATAGGCCCATCTCTTCCTTGAGATAACTCTAATGATTTCAATGGAAATTAGTCATAAATTCCTTTCAGAGCCTGGTTTAAGTGCCTTCTCTTCTGAGTTTCTTTTACACATACCGCATTGAAGGGAGAAGGAGGAGGAGCCACTCTCTCTTCCTTTACAGATATCTGTTGAATTTGAGGGGCCAAATTCCCTATTTGGCCAAAGGAAGCTGTGTTCAGGAATAGATATAGGAACATTGATTGAATAAATCAACTTTTCATGGAAAAGCTTACTTGAGTATTTCTGAAAGTATTCACCATTCTGATATATTCCTTTCAGAGTCTAAAGGAAAGATATTTATAGTCTTCCTCTCCCCTTGAATCAGCTAAGAGGAATTGCATTGATTTTAAAGGC